GACAAAAACTCATTTTTTAAAAATAAATCCTAGCTAGATCGATTTATTGCCCCCGAAACTCCCTGCATACAAAATTTTATGAAAATCGTTGGAGCCGTTTCCGAGATTCCGATTATATATATATACAAGAATTGCTCGTTCAAAGGTATAGGATATGTATGTATATATATTATAAGTATGTATATAAATTAGAGATGGGCCGAATATGGACTTTACTGAACCGAATATTCGGCCGAATATTATTCGGCAGGATCATCTCAGTACCTAATCAATTTATATCGAAACTTGTTACCACAAAGCGCGCGGGATTAGCGCCGGACCCTGCTCTTCGCTTCCCGGCCACACCTGACATGTTATTGTATCAACTAGCACTGTGCAAATAGGCGGCACGTGCTTATTTGACTATTTTTGTAAGAAAAAGAATATTTCGTTGTTTTTTTTTAGAGAACATTGATAATTATATGATAATAATGAGTGACTTATTTTAGAGAGACTGATGACCAAAGTAAAGTGAAATGTACTAATGTCATGTAATGTTTCTTTGTTTGATTTTTAAACATTTTATCAAGCGTTATATTTGCTATAAATGGAAATAAATCGACAGTGCCTAAAATATAACACTATACTAGTAGATTTAACCCATAAATGAAATATATTTTCAACAGTAAAATTATGAAAGACATGGCATTACTCTATTCGTCCATTTCAATACCGTGGACACCTTGAACAGCACTTTAACGAACGTTCGGTGATTTAGCCGAATATTCGGCCGAGTACCAATATTCGGTAAAGATGCCGAATATGCCGAATACCGAATATGAAACGGTCTTTTTAATACGTGGTAGAGCCGTGCTGCAGTTATATTAGTAGTATAGTTGTAACACGAATGGGTCGGTTCGACTGGGGAAGGACCACGCTCTTACAGAATACCAGCGTAAAATAGTAGCTTAATGCTGCTGTGTTTCGTATGTTGAGTGTAGAGAACCGGAGACCCTTTTCACTGGAAACGAGGCATCCATCTTAGTCCTCACGGGTGACAACGCATCTGCATTTTGATTCGTAATCAAGGACAGATGTGGATGTCTATGGGCCACAGCAACCACTTACCACCAGGTGGACTGTGTGCTCGTTTGTAACCCCATCCTATAAAAAAAATCTTAAACATATATGACGCCGCATTGATTCCAACCTATCGCGGCGGGATCACTTGTTGTTTAATAAACTATTTGGTTCGTAATATACCAATAAAACAATTGGGAGTATATGATTTCTATATAATATAAGGAACTTTAACGGAAAACAAAACAGGTTGCAAATTTTAAGGGACGCAGCTATTAATGATATTTCAAATAACACACAGTGTAACCCATTAAAAAGCTTCTCGGCGACACTTGTCTTCACTTCACTTCAGTTGTCTCGAAGAATACTCGAGACTTCCTGAGTGTACTTTAATGTAACAAGCAAAGTAGGTAAGTTAGTATATTTTTCTGTTCGTAACGAATAAGGGAATCAGGACGAAATTAATGCACTAATAGTGTAGTGTTGTGACGGGGTTCGAATATTCATTACCCTAAATAAGATGTTATGGCAACAGTATCTTCGAGTTTTTTTGGCAGAAATTCTCAGTATCTGCCCGGAGTCAAGAAGTTGGCGGTGTCTCACCCCCGTGCCTCGGAAAGCACGTAAAGCCGTTGGTCCTGCGCCTTATCTCTCTTCGGTTGTGTCGGTTTACCATCCCATTGGATTATGACAGTGAGGAAATAAAGAGTGCACCTGTGCTTGCGCATACACTTGGGCGTTATAATCCTGTCCTGCGCCGTTGGCTAGCCTCCGTTGTGGCAGGCCGCCGTGGCCGAAATTCAGTCTGGGGGACATTATTAGTCTAATAGGTGGTAGCACCCTATTTCTATTATTATTATTACAGTTAGGGATATCTGTATAGTTTTCTCATCTGGTTGGTTTCTATAAATATGTAATTATAAATTAAAATGAAAAGATAAATATACATAAATATCAATAATATAAAATAAATACAAAAAATACACAAATAAATAAAGATCTAACCAGATGGAAGCCCTCGGCAGAAGAGACCAAACGGCCGAGGGTTAGGAGGAAAGGGAAAGAAACCGACGGACGATGCGGGCGGTATCAAGGACCACTGCCTTCTGCATTTGAGCCCGGAGCGGTCCGTCACGGAGTCCCAGTCACCTCAGATGACCCGAGAGGCTGACTGGGATTAGCCCATTCGCAGAGACGACTACAGGAATAATTTCGGTCGGCCGACCACCCCACATGTCGGTCACCTCGTGAGCCAGGTCCAGATATTTTGTTCGCTTATCTGTTTCGGCTTTCACGAGGTTCTCGTCATACGGAATGGTAATGTCGACCAAAAATATCCTTGACTGTGCCCGGTCCATCAGCACAATATCAAGCTTATTCGCAAGAATAGTCCTGTCTGTGATGATGGCCCGGTCCCAGTAGAGCCTGGCGCGGTCATTTTCGAGCACGGCTTCCGGCAAGTACTTATAATACGGCACTTTCCGGTCCACGAGACCGTATTTCAGAGCGAGCTCCTGGTGTAGAATTCTGGCTACTAGGTTGTGCCTGTGCAAGTACTCAGAGTTAGTAAGCGCCGAACAACCGAAGATGACATGCCTAAGTGACTCACCGGGATGGCGACAAGCTCGACAGACGTCGACGGTGCCATCCTTTAGGATGTATCTCCGATAGTTGTTGGTCTTCATAATCTGATCCTGTATTGCACAGACAAAACCCTCGGTTTCCCCGAAGAGGTCACCGAAACGTAGCCAGTTGAGGGAGGCGACTGTATCTACGAAGGGCTCATGTAGAGCCTTGTAGCAACTCCCGTGGAGCTCCTTCTCCTTCCGTACAGTCTCCCGGTCGGAAATGTTAAGCACTGCTGGGTCCTGCCATTGCTCGTTGGCTAAGGATAGAGGGGTAAGCCCTTTATCACTAGAAATAAGTCATTATAGAATGGATCATCCGATCTCGCCAAGAAGTATTGGCGGAAACTGCACACTTCGCGATTATGCATGATGAGCGCGCTCAGAAAGCCACGCCCACCATGCTATCGCGGCAATTACAGCCTCATTACCGACGATCTCGGATGATGCATCCTATGGGACGTCATTGTAGTGCGGACTTTTCTATCCAGGGCGTTAAGCTCAGTCTGAGTCCACCTGAGTATGCCAAAGGTATACATGAGGACAGGCATGACCCAGCAGTTATATGCGTGTGACTTATTCACACCGGACAAAAAGGCTGTTAAGCCCTTTGGTCAAGCGTGCATAAAACACGTCGCAAACTGACTGTTTCATACCAGCCTCATCGATACCGATGTTCTGTGACATACCCAGGTATCGGTATGTTTCAGCCTCGGAAAGGGTCTTTAAGTTGACGGGCATAGACAAGTCTATGCCCTCAGAGTTAGCAACCCTTCCCCTTTCAACATGGAGGACCGCACACTTATCCGTCCCCAGCTCCATTCCAATGGAACTGCTAAATTCACAAGTGATGTTTAGCAGTTCCATAAGATGGGAGCGACTGGAGGCGAATAACTTGAGGTCATCCATATAGAAAAGGTGGGTCACTTTTGTCCCTCCTTTCCGTAGCTGAAATCCCCTCCCGGAGCCCTCCAGTAAGGTATTGAGAGGGTTCAGAGGGAGGCAGAACCAGATTGGACTCAGACAATCGCCCTGGAAGATACCCCTTCTTATTCTTATGTGATTTTTCGCAGCCATCATCCGCTCGCCCAGATGACAAAGGATCGTACTCCACTACCTCATACACTGCTTGAGGAAGTCTCTAACTGTACAGTCAATCTTGTACAGCTCGAGGACCCTCTTTAGCCATGTATGGGGCACCGAGTCGAACGCCTTTCTGTAGTCTATCCAGGCGGCAGAGAAGTTTCGGCGGTTGCGTTTCACCACTTTGCCTATGACCGCGTCGAGTTGTTCCTTGGTTCCACGACCACCACCCCGACATCCATTTTGAGCGCGTGACATCACCTGGTTTAGCTCCAGGTGACGAGTGATTCTCGCGCTCAAAATGGATGTCAGTGTCTTATATATGGTGGGTAGACACGTGATGGGGCGGTATTTGCTCGGGTCTGTGGTATTCTGATCTTTAGGAACCAAGAGAGTAACCCCAGTAGTGAAGAGGCTCGGGAGCGACTTCTGATCGAGAGCCTCTTGAAACTGTCGGGCGAGCACAGCGTGACACACTATGAACCCCTACAGCCAGTAATGATGCAGCCCTTCGAGCCCCGGACTTTTCCAGTTCGGGACCTTACGGACCGCCTCATCCACGTCTTCCGGCGTTATGGTGATGGGGTCCATAGGCGTAACGCTCGCACCCTGGCTTGCCACAACTTCCATCCAAGGGCCCTCGCTGTGGTTTACGGGCTCTGACCACAGGCCACGCCAGAATGCGATAATGTCAGCCTGATCCGGTCCTTGGCCCGCTCCACATACCTTTGGTCGCTCCAATGATTTATAGAGCCTCTTCTGATCACTCTGGAAGAGACGATTCTGGTTGAACCGCCTTGACCTCTCGGTAAATCGTCGAATCCGCTTTCCCCAAGTAGCGATCTTTTGCTTCAGGTCGTCTATGCGCTCCGTTAGTTTCTGCGTGATATCCGGCTGGAACAAACTGATATTTGTCCCAGCAAACGCCATCCTAACGGTGGGCACAATCCTCGGTCTATTATTACTTCACTAGCCACGCGAGCCAGCTTTTCAGTCTGCCGATAAGGGCCCTTGCCTTTGCGATTCGGTCCTCGATTCTTTTTCTCCAGGCTGGGATGGCGCTACTTTGTGTAGTAGCGCGTCCAGCCATGGAAAGTTTGGCGCCAATAATATGGCAAACTGCCACTGCGGCGCCAAAGAGAATTGAGTCCGTCTCGCAAAGTTCCCGGCTGACTTCCGAATAGGTCACCAGCATTGGGTTAAGAGCCCTCACGACAGCCCGATTTCGCTTGCTTAGGGGTATGCGGGGAAGTCGCGGTCGATTTTCGAGAGGGGTGCTGCGCGTTTCCAAAATCGCCTCTTCACAAGTGGAAGATCCATGGCGGCTTCCACGTGTGGATGCTGGTCTGTCGAATGTGGAGCTGCATCTCCAGCCATAGCCGATTCATTCGACGACGGAATAGCCTCACGTCGTAGTCGTTCGAGTTCGGCATCATCAAATATTTTCGAGCGCATGATGTACCGAACTCGGTCTGCCAGGTTTTGTTCCGTAACGGGGATAGAAGGCTCCAGCTCAGCAAAAAAGCAATGCATCCGAGACCTATACGCTATTCCCACCACAGTTTCTTCCCCTTTCGCCCTATAGTACGCCCGCAATGCGTTTTCGTTCATAGATTTTGTCCAACGCATGCGACGTGCTCCACCAGCGGCGGGTGCCGCTTGCTGAGTCCGAGAAGACCCAGCCGCCACCAAGCCTTCTGGTGGGGATGATGGATGAGAGGGGCAGCTTGGTGATCGTGCAGCTCCTCGCGCTCGGCTGGCGGCCCGCATGCTGCCGCGTCCAGCGCCAGCTCCAGAGGCGCCCCGGCGACCTCCAGGCAGCGGCCCTATGCGTGTTCCTTTCTGTGTTTCTTCCATCATCCATTTTATGGGCGCCAAATAACGGGAGACGCCCAAGCCCGGCACCGTTTCGTGGTTGGGTCATATGCACAAACGGACCTTTGCACCTACAATTTTGCCTAGGCACGGCGCTCACACCTCTTGGCAGGATGCTGACTGACTGCGCCGACGTAGCAGTTTTGTCACATAACTGTTACGTCAGCTCGCGATGGGGTCGTTTATTACAGTTATTATTATTATTATTATTACAGTTGTAGCACGAATGGGTCGGCTCGCCCGGGGAAGGACCACGCTCTCACAGAATACCAGCGTAAAATAGTAGCTTAATGCTGCTGTGTTTCGTATGATGAGTGTAGAGAACCGGACTTTTTACTGGAAACAATGCATTCCGTCTTAGTCCTCAGGGGTGACAACGCATCTTCGTTTTGATTCTTAATCGAGGATAAATGTAGATGTCTATGAGCCGCAGCAACCACGTACCATCAGGTGAAATGTGTGCTCGCTTGTCACCCTTATTCTATAAAAAAACATTCACCAGCGAGTTTCACCATAAATGTGATGCGTGACAATTATGTCCATCAGTTTAGTAAGTTTTCGTTTGAATTTTCGTGCAGTCAAATCGTGTCGATCAGACGAAAGCTGACCAGGCAATAGAAACTCTTTTATCTCGTCAATGCTAAGACACTATGATGGAAAATTATTTTGCCTGGGAAGGAAAAGGGCAGAACTTCTGTTGAACTTTCGCTTTATTAGAATAAAGTTCTCAGCCTGGTCAGTGGCCATTGTGGCATTGATACGGAGCTATTTTTTAAATACTGGAGTACTTAAATAGCGTTATTAAGCTTTATTTTTTTTTACTTGTGGGACGATGACACATTATCCCCTCCCCTGTTCAAACCAAGGTCGATGGTGCAGTTCAGTTAAAGATGAAGGTGCATTTTTGCCAGGAGTTGCCTGTAGTCTGTGGTAAGATGAAAAGAAGGCGAGTGAATCTGAAAGTGCCATGAAACATAGAGTCCTTAGGCACAAAGCCGTGCCGAAGAACTCTGTAGTGCTTTATTCCACTGTTGCGAAGAATGTTAAAAAGCTAAGCTGGTTTGCAGTAGCTGCAGACTGCATATGACGTTTTGCTTAATAGAGAATGGAAGGGGTTTTTCAGAACGATGACGAATGTGTGACGCATACATGCTTGTCGGTTAAGGGTAGGGTTGTGTGAATTGTAAATGTGCCTTTTTTGACACATTCTGATTTCAAACAATAGAGTGTAGAACCCCATTTATTCTATTTGCTGCTTGTCCTTCTATAAATTTGCCACTGGTTTGGTCTCTCTGGGAAGAAACAGCAAGAAACCCGGCGGGTCATACAAAAAAAGACAGTTTACAATCATATAATAAGATACTATAAACTACACAACAGATTGGTAGCAATTACCTCATTCCCAGGGTTTATTATCATCCATGCATTTCTTTATTATAATAACCCTTTTTATAAAAAAAGGTCAGATCATTCATCATCAAAGATTATTTTTTTTATATTTTGTATGTATGTTTTTTGAGTTTTCCTATATCGTCACGCCACGCTAAATCTATGGTTGTCATATTATATAATATGTCAAAAATAATATTTTAAGGCAAGTATCGTGTAAACGGTCATAAATTTTCAATTACATAAAGTATCGGTAGTCCAACAGGTCCTATTTATTATTTATTAGATTTAGTAACTGCCTCGTTGGTCTAGTGGTTGTAGTAGTGCGACTGCTGATCATGAGGTCCTGGGTTCGAATTCCAGGTCGGGACAAAAAAATTAATTATTGAGTTTTTCCGTCAAGAAATTCTCAGTAGTTGCCCGGAGTCAGGAAGTTGGCGGTGTGTCACCCCCGTGCCTCGGAAAGCACGTAAAATCGTTGGTCCTGCGCCTGATCTCTCTCCGGTTGTGTCGGTTTACCGTCCCATCAGATTATGAGAGTGAGGGAATAGAGAGTGCACCTGTGCTTGCGCATACACTTGGGCATATAATTGTTGCGGATGGCTAGTCTCCGTTGAGGCAGGCCGCCGTGGCCGAAATTCGGTCTTGAGGACATTATTAGTCTAATAGGTGGTAGCACTATATTTCTCCAAGCAGTTAATCTGAGAACTGGGTTCTGCACTGGCGTGTTCCGGCCTGCAGGGTGTAGAGATAGAGAGCAAGTATAGTTACAGTTATGCTCGTAGTAACACGATGTGAATTATTCCATCCTAGTCCTTAAGGGAGGGTACGCATCTGTTGTTTTCTGTGGTCCTCTTCGTATAAAATTGTTTACCACCGGGGATTTTTCCGGACCGAAACGACTTTGGGACCCTCGAGAAGAAAGCTTACTCTTTTGTAAAAGACCAGCAACGGACCTGTAGTTTCCCTGGTGTTGCGGTTGTTCGTGGCCGCGCTCTTACCATCAATGAGCCACAAGTTCGTTTGCCCAATCTTCTATAAAAAGTCATCTTTAGGTGTCCATGGACTGCAGTGGCCACTTACCATCCGGTGGACAGTAAGTTTATTTTTCACTTAGAGATTTATATAAAAAAATTACAGCATTAAATATGAATTTGTTTTTTTTTTTCGCACAGTAATTTTAAGGCGTCATGGTAAAATTGAAAATTAAAGTTACAATAAAAATGAAACAAATATTAATAATTAAATTAATATTAAGATTTCATTAAAACAACACTTCTGTTTACGCCTAAAGCTGTTAAAATTTTCCTTTATTGTTATTAATTTTCCTGTATTGTGTTAATATTTTCGAAATTCGCCTTTAGAATGTTAATGAAATTATTGTGATCATGTTAAAATTTACGTCGAAAGGAATCCAAAAGTCTTTTGTGTATATAAACAAGAATTCTTCAATTGTCAACTGTAACATCTGAGAATTATAATTAGTATTCCGAAGTTGTGGTTAAATTTGTTATTCAGTTATTATTGGATCACAATAGCGAATATTTAGGTATTAAATACTCAATGTCTGTCAAGGGCCATTTGCATACACGTTTTTTGAACGAGCCGGCGGAAACATAAACAAAATAATGATAGATTTACTAACATTAACATACAATAAAAATCTCTCATAAATCGTTAGCGTAGCGTTCTCGGAATATGCGTGCTGGTTTCTTCACTACTGCGGGCATATACCTTATATTTTTGTTTATTATTACTTTCTTCGATGTTAAAAATTTTTTCATCTGAAAATTTCGTGGTATTTTTTTCCCGCGTACCGCCGTAACAAAGCGCGGGATCTATCCAGCCTAATTTTTTTCAAACGGCCGTTCAAAAAATGTCCGGTCTTCTTACGATAAACTCGTAGTCCCAGGTCTTCATTTATCACTCTTCTGACCGTGGTTCTGCTTAGGTCCATCTGCAGAGTTAAGATTTTTTGTTTACGAACAGGATCTCGTTGCATTCGCGCCTTCACTGCTTCGATGATCGCGGGTGTCCTAACTGTACGAGGTCGGCCGGTCCTCTTACGATCTTCGAAGCTTGAATCTTCAGTGAATCGTTTGATAGTGCGATAAACAAATAGTAGGGTTATTTTCAATTTTTGTAGAATATTGAAAATCTTTTTTGACCCGTAACTACAGCGGTGCAACGCGATAACCACTACTCTATCTTCTTTCTTCGACCACACCATATTTAAAAACGAATGAAAATTAATGTCCTTTTTATTTTCGGCAAGCGCAAACGTTATATTTTTAAAATTGGGAAGTTCATCTAGCCAGTATTCAAAAATTGTAAATAATAAGGTTTTGACAGAACTTCTGTATTGCAAACAGAGAGATCCTTCACTTAAAGCACACTTGAAACTTTCTGAGCGTGCTTCAATGTACCTTTCAGTAGCTTTCAGCACATGTGCTAAGGAAGGGAAAACTTCTATATAACGAGTATTCAGTAAGTACTGTTAAAAGTCAAATAATGATAACTCTGATAAGACTCTCCTAGCAGATTTTGACCGCGACAGTTTCTAAATACGGTGTGAAATATCAAATACGTAAGACATATTATTAAAGATAACAAATGGTTACATCATATCCTTGAATACAAATCTATGTGCATATTTGTTTGAAATGTTTCTTTTATTTGGGTTTTTGCAGTTTTGTACACCCTACTTAACATTAACACACTTGAGGGTTTCTCCAACTAGTTTTATTATTAGTCCTACGGTAGACCAAAATAGATAGGTTTTTTCGAATGTTCTATTGCTCAGTTTACCGTATAGAGTAATTTCAGAATATCACAACCCCATATCGCGTGGCTGTCTTCAGAGATGACAGAGGGGAAACTTAGTAAGAGATGTGCAGTAGTGTCTTCCTAATAACAACTAAAAAAATAATAATTGAGGTTGCCAACCCGCTTGCCAAGCGTGTCAACTACGGCAAGTTCCGCTGTGAACCAATGCATGGGAGGGGCTTATGTTTAGCAGACTAATATAACATTTATTTTGACATCCACGGAACAAAATGAAGTGAGATTTTCTTACGGCATTATATCGAATATAATTTATTAATTTAAAAAAATATGAATAGGGTTATTTTAATATTAAAGAATACATTTACAGTATACGGTATCTTGCTGGTTCTTGGACGAAGGTATTTTCAGAACCAATGGGAAATAAAAAATGACTTTCAAAAAGTTTATGTAATCCTTATTCAATTAAACCTACTCTTTTCCATTTTATTCATTTATATTCAATACATATTAAAACTTCTTTTTCGTCTTTAGCAGATTTGACTGCATACACGCAACCGAATAGACAGGTCTCCAAATGCATGTGGCGTGACTTTTGCAACTTCAATACAGCTCGTATTGAAAAAACGATCATGTAGAACCAGGGCTCCAAAGTCTTTGCCAGAGATCTGTCTGCCAGAAAGAGCCAACTGTTGAAGAATACTCGAGGTTTCTCCGTGTGATAAACTTAGAAATGAGGATATCCGCAGTAGAACTAGAGTGACCGATATAGGCCAACGGATTAGTAAGCTGAATTTTAAATGGACCGG